GTCGTATAATTTTTCCCTTTGTTTGGGGTAAAAGGATACTCCCTCCGTCTTATAATAAGTGTCCTATTTGGGCAATGTGTAGTTCTTAAGAAAATGATTAGATGGGTTGATTTTAGTGAAAAAAGTTAATGTCATTTACTAGAATACCCCTATTAATTGTAGTTAATAAAGTTGTTGAATAAAGTGAAAGTTAATAAATAGGGGTATGGTAGTGAAAAAATAATAATAAATGATGCATTAGAATTGTAAATGGACAATTATTTTGAGACAAAAAAAAAGTGCAAATGAGACATTTATTATGAGACGGAGAGAGTATGAAGTAGAGATTGGAAATTTTGTCTTCCCTTTGTGGGGATTTTTAAATTCTCAGTCACATACTATCCTTTTCCTCGTAACATTTCTTTTTAATGAAAAAGTACTTTTGTTGTGATCATAGAAAAAATATGTATATATTTTTTGAGAATTTCTTTTTCTACTCTATAGTGAAAAGAAAAACCTTACGCAATTTCTAAAATGTCTTTAGAAACCAGAAATGTATTTCCGATATGCACCATGCACCACACACAAATAGATCAAATATGGTTCTACCCTATTCAAAAGGCAAAAACAGAACCAAAATTATAGTTTCGATTGCAACCGATATTGTATTTTGGGTTTATATAGCAGGAAGATTGAATTTTCTGTCACATTGTCCTTTTATATATTACCCGAAATATACTTCCGATATTACAAAAAGTGTATATTACTTAAAATAGTAACCAGCATGGACAAGGATGATCAAAATTATTTCTTCATCTTTCCATAAACCCTCTCAAAAACCCTTCCATTCTCAATCTATTTTTTCACTCCAAATCTTCATTCATGTGGTTCATCATATTAAAAGGAGCTCAAGAAAGTGGAATTTAAGATAAAGTTTATTCATTTCAATCTTCATTCTTCACATTAATCTGCTTTTCATCTTGAAAAAGGTTACGCTAATACCGAAAATATAATTTCAGTTAGTAGTTGAACTTAACCAGAAATGTATTTTCAATTTATGTCTATGGTTATTTTTTCAGAAAATGTATGTTAATTAGTTTAATATTTTTTTATCATATTAGGTATGGTGCATCCCGATAACATTCCCAAACCTAACGTGTCTCAAGTTATTTCACCTCTCGTATCTCCTCTCTTATCTAAGGCGGTAGATATTCGTGACCATTTTGAAATAGAAGAAGAGTTTGAATTACGTGAAGACATGTTACAGTGGATTCATACAGAGACCACCAAACTAGGGTTTGGTGTTGTGATTGGAAGGTCCAATAATGGTACGGGTAGAAGATGTGCATTTGTGACTTTGACGTGCGAAAGAAGTGGGAAATATATGCGTCGGACCCATAAATTGAAATGCGACGACACCGGTTCAAGGAAATGTGAATGTTCATTTAAGTTACATGGTTATCTGTTGGAAAATAAGAAATGGAGATTTAATGTGATATGTGGTTTACACAATCATGATTTAAGTCTAAGGTTAGTCGGTCATCCAATTTTAGTGAATTCGGTTGCAACGATATTTCCTACTTCTTATGTACTACTTTGTAGGTACCACGTTACTAAAAATGTAAGAAGTTGGGTTAAACCTACGGTAGGGACAAAATAGATTGTATGTGAAAATAGAAAACTGGTCAAGGTGGGCGTTATTGTGGAGAAAGTTATGGATGCATATAATGTTATAATAAATGCATCTACAAAACAGTTATATGTTGATGATGTTTTACATTTCAAGAAGGTTTGTGTGAGTTATCTTGATCTATTAAAATATATTGAAAGCACAATATTGGACCAGGTAAAGGATAAAATTGTTTGTGCTTGGACCGATCAGGTTATGCACCTCATAAATACAACAACAAATTGAGTTGAGTCTGCTCATGCATGTCTAAAGAATTGGTTGGGAAATAGCAAGGGTGATTTGATTACGGAATGGAATTTTGTGAACCATATGATACTAAACCAGCATAATGAGATACAAACAATATTTGGTCGTAGTATCACGGTGTTGGAACACAGGTTCAAAGACAACACCCTATACTCTCAGTTGGTCGGTTAGCTCTGAATTATATTTTTCATGAAGTCAAACGAGCTTCTAATGTAGGTTCTGAAAGCTCAAAGTGTGGTTGCACAATTGTGAAAACATATGGACTCCCTTTTGCTTGTGTCATATCTAAGAATATGAAAGTTGATTGCCCGATATGTATGGACGAAGTCTCCAATCATTGGAAGAGAATCAGTTTTGGAGATGATGGTAAAATGAAAGAAGATAAATCATGTATTTCCATCTTGAGTGAATGGGAATCAATACAAGAAAGATTTTTGAAAGCCGATGACGCCACCAAACTCCACATCAAATAGAAATTGAGAAAGATTGCATTCCCGAAGACCACAAACTTGAAACCACCCTCTCAACCAGTAAAAACTAAATGGGCGTCTAAGAAGGTGAAACCAACATCGGGTGACAATTCAACAACGAGGAGTCCTTCATATTTTGAACACGTTGACAAAGTTTTTCCCGATTCACCTACTCTGAAATATAAGAAAAGTGTTTTCAAAGGAGCCTATATTAGCAAACCACCTCTTACACCAACTCCACCAAAAATACCATTCATCGGGAGATGTTAGTTTTATGCTCAAGTACATTGAACAAATTGTCAATGTCAGGGGTGACAGTAATTATGGTTTTCGAGTTGTTTCGAGTTTTTTTGGTAAAGGGGAAGAGGATCACCATATTGTTTGAGGTACTCTTATCAGAGAGTTAAGGAGAAATAGAGAATTATACAAATGTGCACTCGAGATTAATGAAAAAGTTAAACAGATTTATGACGCGCTAGTACCTTGCGACAGTGGATTTGCACCCGGAGGAAAAATGGATGTGCTTCACTGAGATGGTTCATCTGATAGCAAGTGTATATAAGAGAGTGTGTATTAATCTTACAAGATATGGTTTCTCAGAAACTTTTCCCCACTGCGCACTACCCCACCACCAAATCCCAATGATCGTATCATCTGTGTCGGGTGGTTTCAAATCTGCAGCATTTTGTTCAAGTATATTTGAAACTGGGATGTCTAATACCACTTAACTCATCGGAGTGGACGAATCATTACACAATCCCTTCTGAGACCTGGTCGGGCCAATTTATTGAAAGGATGCAAGACTACAACAAGTTGAACAAAATTGAAATATAAAAAACAGGAAAAGTCAAAAGGGGTAGTACATCTGGATTTGGCCGGTGATAATTATTTCAGATCATTTAAGTAGTTAGGTATAATTTTATTGTATATGTCATTTTGTCAATGTATTATGCTGTAGAATATAGTCATTTTGTAGTTTGACCAAAAATATCATCTTTCAATACATGAGGTTTTTGTTTTTGTTTCTATGTATGTTTCTGTTTCTGTTTCTATTCTGGTTTTTAGTCCCAGAGGACTTATCGGAAATATATTTCCGGTACATATTTAGGTGAAACCGGAAATGAAATTCTGATTTACACTCTGTCACAGGATAGAATTTGTAAGGTTTATGTTTGTCTTCAACTACTGTAAATAAGCTCACTTGGCATATTATTTCATACCAAAACACCAAAAAAATCAGAATGAACATCAAATGACATGTTGAAAATGTCCACTTTACAACCAATACACCATCACGAGAATTTAATTTCACCGAGTACATCCCTCTTGAAGATCTGCAATACATATTGCAGGACCTGCTATCTTATGAAGACAATCGTAAAGTTGTGAAGATCGAGTACCGCTCGCCATCCGTTGACAAAGATGGGAAGCTTGAGTTCATCAACCGTGAGCTGAAGAACGACGCTGATATATGGACTATGTGGAATACTTTTACCCATTTTGAAGCGAAAGTTCTGATCGAGCTAGATGTGAATGTTTCGAGATCGATAGATGATATTATCATGATGTTGCAACGTCCACATGCACATTAAAGTGTAATGTTTGATGTATGTTTCAATCCTTAATGTATTACTTATGTTATAATATGAATTGTATTTTGAATTTATGAAATTGGTATTATTCAATGTGTTTTTCTACTTTCTATGTGTAGCACAAAATCGAAAATGTAAGTCCAAGTATAAATCGGAAATTAAATTCTGATTTCAGCCTATATTTTATCAAATCTTAATGCATCCTGAAAATGCATTTCTTATTTCAAAAAACATTTTTGTGACTTTGCATAGTACTCTAGAAAATTATAGGGTGGAAAAAGAAATCCTCTATTTCTTTTACTTAAGTCATGTGTCTTCATAGGCCTATATAGTTATATTCACACAAGACCAAACAAGTCATCATTCTCAAACTTCTATGATTGTGTTAGTAATTTGTATGTGCATGTAAATACTTGACCAAAAACACAGGAATAAGTAAATCATCCATTCAATATTCAAATGGGACTTTTAGGGTGTGATTGGAACAGCATAAAGAGGAAAGAGAAATAGAGACGAGAGAGTTTGAAGAGAGAGAATACATTTCTCCTAATTGATAGATAAATGAAATTGGTGAGAGAAGTAAATAGCATGAGGCCCAAAATTCAATAAAACTAACATTTAAATGCAAATTTTTAAGAGACAAATATATTACTATATTTAATTAATCACTAAAATATAATATTAAGTTAATTAAGATAATAAATAAATTGTAATTATATTATATTTTTATTAAAAAGTAATTCAATCTTTAACATAAAGATAATTTTGTCTTTTTATAATTATACACACTTCTTTCTCTTATATTTCTCTTAAAACAAACAATATAATAAATCTACTTGCTTGTATAGATTGATATAATGAAAGAGTCTTAAGAGAATCAAAGTTTAAAATTTGCTGCTAACAAATCTCTTATAGAATTGCAGATAGTGACAGACTGAGACAACATGAGATTATTTATTATTTTCCTCATGGACAAAATTGGGTGTAGTTTCACTAAAATCTGAGCTCGTGAAACATTTAAGGTCACGAGTAATCATCTGCCACAATAATCATTTTCAGAGGCAAGCAATACCCCACCACTGTTGGTGGAATCCAAAGGTAGCGAACATGTCTATGAACAATGGGAGTCTTGTTCCCACAGTGAGAGAAAAACAAAACCGTTGTTCTATCATTGTCATCCATCACAAGTGGGAGAGGACTTGTTCCAATCAATTCAAACATATGTAGCTCAGGCATTTCGGATTGAATGTGTGTACCACATATGAAGTTCATTGGTTCAAACTCTAGCTGTTCAACAACACAATGCATACATGAAAGCTAACACGGTCAAATTGAGAGGTTAATACAGAATGATGAAAGTCGGTTATCTATTAACTGCTGTTACTGAATCAGTAAAAGAAATTTCTAATCACTGGTATTTTTTTACTGTACAAAAAATTCTACACCAATTTGTTAAGGCTTCCCTCTAGAAAGCATCGTACACATCACAGGTAGTTGATTCAACCCTTTGAGATTAATACAAATTCTCGTAGAATATCAGTCTCAGGCTAAGTATGTACTACCTATTTGATCTACCAGATTTACTGTGATTCATACAAACTCAAATTATCAATGGCAATGGAAAGATCAGATTCCATCACACTATCACATGCCTTTGGTTGAGCATCATCCTTGATTGAATTTTCTTCCTTCCCTTCTGCAGCCACACATTCCTGAAATCTGAAGCAACCGATGAGGTGGTCATTAGTTAACCCCACAACCTGCATGAAGGAGTATATGACAGTGGGACCCACGCCACGGAAACCTCTTCTCAACAGGTCTTTGCTAATAACTTCAGCTTTTGGTGTTTTAGCAGGAACCTGTCGAGGATATCGAAATTTGCTAACTATAGGTTTGTGGTTCACGAAACTCCAAATGTAATTGTCAAATGACCCAAACTCTTCTATGACCTGGCATCAGTAAAACCTGCAAAAAGTTAGTTGCAACAACAATCATGGATGTGGTGCAAGTTGTGCAGAATGCAATTATGGCAGTTGAGTAAAAGAATGCATTGTAGTTTTTAATGTTATGTGGCTAAAAGCACATACCACCAACTAAGCATGTTGGCTGGTTAGAGAATCCAAATAATTAGGTCTCTCATCATTGCGGAAAATTAGAACATAAGAAGCTCATACTGTACAAAAGATTAATATCATGGGTTGTCCCATATGGTCCATGCAAATTAAATGAGGGCCAGGACCACAACCCAATTACCCTTATTACCTAAACCTCCCTAATCAGATAGTCATTAAATACCAATTTTAAGTCATTCAATTGGTTCAATATCTCTCGTTACCAATGGTAATTATATGAATTAAAATACTACAGCGAAGATCTTAGAAAATCTACTCAAGCATTTTTTCTTCAGAAAAAGGAACAAAATTCATTAATTAAAGAAACAGAATTGAGCTATCCTGCTTGGCAGATTTTCCTTTTTATGAAAATTATTAGACTTACTTTCCTAGATTAGGTGTTTCTCCCAAAGATCAATACAAAATTAAAAATATAGTTCTTTTTCAAAGGGAAACCTCTAAACTTGCAAAACATTAAGCAGTTGACTTCTTTCTTGGTTAGCATACCCTCAGGATTCAATTTTATTCATATATCATGAAAATGGAAAGTATCAAGTACTGTCTAAAATAGCTAGAGCATCACTTGTTTCCTAGACATGTTATTAAATACACCCACCCAAAAAACTCTTGGATGGAATGGTGCGGATCTCTTTTAGGTTAACGAGAGGTTTTGGGTTCAAATTCATTCCTGAGAATGTGGCAGTGTTAATATTCTTGAGAGAGAGCATTGCCGCCCGTTATAGTCCTACACAACTCAATTAATCAGTCTCTGCAATTGCCTGCATAGATACCTGGTTTATCCCAAAAAGCACATATACACCAAATATAGAAATATAGATTTTGAATATGGCAGTAAAATACCGCAACCCTGTAATCTCTCTGCTACCACTTCCAGTGGTCCTCACCCAGAAATTAACAAGTAACTATGATCTAACCCGAGAGGACATGTTGCATAATGAAGGTAGCAAAAGTCATGAGAAAAATAATATACCTTTGATATTTGGCGTGCATTCTCAATTATTCCACGCAATTTCAGATCGGAGAGTAAGGAACTTGCAGAAGTTCCTGGTGCCAACATCTTCTTCTCATTTAATTTCGAGACAGCAACTGGATCAAAGTCAACAAAAGCTTCCCTGCAAAGAACTTTGTTAACAATATTAATGCGAACAAAGTTAAAGAAAAAATAGGCTAAGTATGAGGTAGCCGCCAACCAGCAAAGATTAGTGCACAAGAATTGACAATAATTTTAAAGAAATAAAAAAGAAATTCTACAACGATAATACCTAAAAATGTGTCTCTTGCTTAGAATAGCTGGCCAAGCGAGTTCAGAGAGAGCACTCGAAAGAACAAGAACCTCAAACAGTTTCCTACATGTGATTAAGAGTGCCAAACACAATTTAATGGAAGGTACATTCTTCCAAACAACATAACAAGACTATTTTTAGAGGATAAAAGCTTACTTGTCATCATGTACTGGAACTCCCCATTCTTCATCGTGGAAAGTAGCATAACATGGCTCTAAATATCAACAGGTAAACTTAGTCAGGAAAACAAAACTTTGCAAGAAAGCCAAAGTAGCCCAGAACTAAATAAAACTTGAATTATGTAATATAGAGAAATTTCCAGTAAATGTATAGCTTGTGCAGATTTATCTGTAGTGCCATTGACCTATATCAAGTTCATAGAGCGTACTTCTCTTGGAATTCCCAAATTTCTCTTCAATGATCAAAAACATCAACTAAAATATGTCGTAAGAAGCACGAGTTCAGTGCATGTTCTACCTATTTTAGCTACAAACTCATTGCATGAATGAAAATTTGAAACACAGAATAAAATATTGAAAATTAATGTACCATACTTCATTATTATTCACTTAGTTTATATGGGAAATAGTATGACGATGTCCAAATGGAGTTATATATCTAAAGTAAAATCTTAATCTTCAATGAAGAAATCTATGTTCACACAATATGTCAATATCAGCTCAAATGCATATACAAACACATTGAACGAGACCAGTCAGTTGAAATTAAACTACAACAGCAATACTCATGAAAGCAATTCAGCATCCAAAAGTATCATGAACAGAACTAAATCCTACAAAATTAAACAAGGTAACTATTCCCCTGCCTATGCTGTTTTAAAATCAGTATAGCATGCCTTCTTAAAAATTTAGGAAAAAATTGGAGGAAGGAGTTGAACAAACCAGTATTAGGAGTGATCCAAGCACACCTCTTCTTGGATTGTGCGCCATCAGGAGGAGGGGATTCTAACACACCATCAGAAACAACACTCCTTGGCTTCGACACATACCGCTTCCTTGTAAAACCATAGCTATTAGACCGAGTCAACCTTCCAGTAGAAGCCCGGCTATGAAATGAATCAGTAGACGCGTCAGAGGAACACGAAGCATTCATAGACAAATTAGAATGCAACAACTGCTCGTGTCGGCGCAGCACTGAAGAAACACTGGAAGAATGTGACTGAGAAGAAGCATCTTTCTTTTCTCTGGCCAAATCAACATCGCTCCCCAATTTCTCAGCCTTCCTCAGTGGCTTTGAAGCATCTTTCCTAGAACTATAAGAGCCTGTCTTATTTCCAGCAGGACCAAACACAGGCCTTGCTTCTGAGTCAGCAACATTCATAGACCTCAATCTAGGACCTCCTGAGGCTGACATTGACACAAATCTCCCTAATTTTTGTCCCACAACTCACCAAAACACAGTCACCTACCAATTTCTTCTCTTCTAACCTCACTACTCACTCTAATTGTCAATCAAAACTACCCATGAAAATCCACTGAAACCCTTTTATCAGCTAAAAAACATACAAAAAAAGGATCATAACTCATGAAACTTAAAGCAAACGCCTGGTGTGCACAATGACGTGGCCCAAAAAAACAGATCTTGAATTTTCAACCTTCAAAGTGAGCTACGAGAACCCATTAATCAGAAACCCAAAATGGAAAACCCATAAAGGATTGAAATTGACTTGATTTAGAAAATGGGTTGACTTTTTGGGAGGAAAATTAGGGTTTAGGTAGAGTCTGGTTGTAATTTAGAACGGGACTCGAAAGAACCTCGAAAGGCCAGATTCCATTGTGCATTGTGGAAAAAGTATAGTACTCTTCAATGTAACATCAAAAAGCTGGTGACATGACAATCACACACGTTCCTTGAGCAGAGTTGTAGTAGAAATAGGAAAGAAAATGGAGAGAAATGATAGGAAAAAAAGTGTGTGTGAGAGAGTAGGGTTTTGATGATGATTTATCTTTTTTGGTTACAGTGGGGTTTGATGAAAGAAAGAAAGCAAGGTACAAAGTATTATGAACGGAAAATGGGCAAAGGATGAAGATAGAGAGTGGAAATAGTAATAAGAGAGAACCGAAAATGTGAAAAATAAAAGAAAATGAAAGAGTGAAGACCTTTCATATCCGTCGGACAAAGTTTCAAAGCGGTTACTAAACATTTATATAAAATTGAGGATTATGTATCAAATTTTAAGGTGATAGTCGAGTTGATTCTTTCATTTATATATTTTTAAATTTATTTTATAATTATTCATGCTGCAATATAAATGAATTATAGTTGTTAAAGTTAGATAACAAAATTTACAGCAGTCAATAGAAGTTTTTATTGATGTAGATTATAAAGATTCATTTTGTAATGAAAATTAAAGGAAATTTGAATTGAATGTATGCGTAGCAATAATAATAGAATTAGAAAAATTGGAATTGTTGTATCAAGAAAATAGTTATTTGAGGAATTTACTAATAAGACAATAAATGGAAAATTTAAAATTTGATATATAAATAATATACACTAGTTAAGGATAAGAAGAAAAAAAGGAAATTGATAGTAAAAATATGTAATGCGATACAAAAACCACCGTTTAAAATTCATTAAATTTGTACATAAGGTGTATTTGATCAGCAATGATTCTGAGTCGGTTATATTGCATCTGCACAATCCCAAATGAAAGTGTGCAATTTCTGCACAATCTAAAATTCAAATTTTAGCAACTCATCCAACAAAACATTAACCTATGAAAAAACCAACATTAAAAAAGGTGAAATCTCTACACTGGCTTTTTAGTTGTCTCATCACTTTCAAGATTAAATATTTGTATCTCATGTCACCAGCAAGAAGCTAGTGATTGGAAACACGTCAACACATCATCTGCAACTACAAAAATGAAATTAAGTAATCGAGTCTATTTTTTATGAAATTATTCTTCACACAAATATAAATTAGGATGGAGTTCTGCCATATCTCATCTTGAATGTAAAAATTTGTATTTTCTAGACGATCAACATAATTATTATCTTTACGGTTAAAATAGAATGATTTATGGATATGAAGACAGCTTTTTCATTTTGATAGAAGATTCCATGAGACAATGATAGTATTAGTGAATGTTTATATGGTAAGTAGTGAATGGCTTTCAAATCAAAGTTGATTTCATACTCTCTTAGAAGTGTACTCTATAGTGAAAATGTTTTGTATGTTTAACTTGAAAAGAGATCATGATGCCAATATTTGTTGACAATGCACATAAAAGTGTTGAATGAATCACAAAACATTCCTTCATAGGTTGCAAGACCAAGACTCTCTCATTATTCCTCATTTGTGTTACATTTATTCTTATGGGCATTTCTAATTGTTTTGTTTAGTGCATGGGACAGGGAGGGGTCGATAATTGATATCAAAGTGTTTTAGGATACTAAATTCATGCATCGATGAGTATATATGTATTTTAAGATAGATTATTGCATTGTAAATCAAGTTTTTTATGTTTTTAAGTTCCTTGCCAAAGTTTATCCGAGTGTGTTAAATCTAAGTTGATTTTTGTGTACCAAGTTTTCCAGATGATTAAGGCATTGATTGCAATAATAAGATTCTTGAGTTGTGGACTCCAACCTCGATTAGTAATATTGTAAAGGCTCACAAAGGTAGTTCAATTAAGTTGTATGCAAGATAAAGATTTCAACCATGTACATAATTGCAACGTGTGGTTGCAATTCAAAGAGAGGTGTTATGGAGTCTCCAAATTTTGAGTGCATATATAACATCTAAAAACATATGTAATTCCTCTCCTTCTAAGATTACCATATGTGGCAATCACATTATGCACGAGTCTATAAAAGATGGGAGATTTTGCAAGCGGGATGTATGGTTGCCATATGATTTTGGCTCAACTAACTTGTGCATATTCAGTACTATGGAATTCATAGGCTTCGTTGAATGTAAGTGAATCATTGCTTAAAAATTTTCAAATTAGAGTGTCGTTGTCATTTTCATAAAGAGTGGGAATGATTTTGAGGATATCATTCATTACATCTGGTGCAAATATGGTGAAAGGAATGTTACAATTACTTTCTTGAATTAGTCCTTAATTAACAATAGTTTATAGGTAGTTAAGTTAATTTTGAAGGAAAATATAGTCTTTAATTTTATAGTATAACCAGTTGCCACACTATAAATAAATTCATTTATCATTCCCTATTTGGCACATGCCATGATCTTCAGTATCATTCAAAGCATACTTTAAACCAAATCATACTAAGGAGGATATATGATGCTTACTATGTTATTTGTTTTTGAAGCATCTGCTTCTAAGGGTCATGGTTTATTATTTGTATGTTGTAAGCATGCTACATACGAGAGTGAGACATCCTACTTTATTAATGCTCCTGATTTTTCTCATACCAAGTTCTCTTACGAGGATATGAGTGCAAACTTTCTCCTAATAAAGAGTAACAAGCTTTCTTGTGTCAAGATTGCATGTTGAAACAAGGATTCTAATGTAGTTATCCAATCTATTCAAAAGAACCATTTGACACCCATAGGTTTTGAGGTTATAAAGTGACATTTCATGGATGATAGAGATCTAACCATATAAACATGGCCCATCATGGAAAGAATATTCCCTTTCAAGGTAGATAGATTAGTATTACCTTATATGAGATGGCCTAAAGATGTTTGAATTTAGGTTTGCTTTTAAAAATAGGTACTTAGACGTAGTCAAATGGGGCATGGTCAATGGTAAATCCTAGATGTGCAGCTAAGTTGTTGAGTCATATTGACACATTGCAAGTTTACATCTATATCAAAGTAAAATAAAGAGATTCATCGTTCCTTAGAGGCCAATTCGAATATCGAGTTTTGCTATCTCTATAGTTATCTAAGTAGGTCAATAATATTGATTTGAAATTTTATTTTGTTCTAAAAATAAACTCTTTTAAAAATGACTCAATGTTCATAATTATTATCCTAAACAAATTCATGTAGACTCTCATTATCTTACTAGAAATAAAATTGTTTTGTAGAAAATAGAAAAGTTAGACTACATCTATTTTCCTTAGCGTGTTGTCGTGTCATAAACCAACAAACTACCTATTTTCATTAGTGTGACTTTTTCATTTAGGATTGATTTTAGGCACAACTATTACGATGATAATTTCTAAAGTGAGTTTGAGACAGTTCTGTAGCCTTAAACTCAGTTTTCTGGTATTTCTCGTTTGGATACCAATTCACACCCTTTCAATATGTGATTGGCATTTCAGATGTCTCTACTTTCATAGAGGCATATTGTTGTACCCCAAAATTTACCCTCTTTATTTTCATTATTACATACACGCATATCATTAGTTTTATGATTATGGAATCAAGGTATATTTAGCGAGCTTCGTCGGGTTACAAGTGACGTTTATTTCGCCAATGGATGTTCTCAGAGTATTTTCCGTGCTGAAGATCGGTTCGCCACTTCGCAATGATTCGGGGTTCAAAGATTCACAAGTCCAACTCGGCGCGTCATATTCATGTGTTCCTTCGCCAAGATATCCCTGATAACATATTCTCAAATTCAGGTTCGGCTCGAGAGCCAATTCTTTAAAGAAGGTCTCCCAATGTGCGATTTTTTCTCGAAGAAATATGGTGAAAAGTATGCTGAAAATGCAGTTTTTACGCACTAAAAAAATTTATAACTTGAAGATCGTGGCCCGTTTTAAATCCGTTCCGGTGGCCAAAATTATGTCTTGACGTCATCTACATTTTCATCTCTCACGGATGGAAGCCAATTTCGATCAAAAGGTCTTCAAAAATGCAGATTTATCAAGTATTTTCGTACAAAAAATTTGTGACCGAAGTTTATTTGCGTCATGTTCAGCAAATCATAACTTGGTCGATTTTCATTGTATTGAGCTGGTTCTTGCGCCAAAATTTCACAAATTTAGTTGGCTTTTCACATGAGGTATCGAGTTCGAACGGTATCCAAAATGCCTTCGTTTTTTGCCCAGAGTGCGCGTGACGCGCCGAAAATCCTGAATGTTGAATATTATTTCACCTGGGTCAAAACTTCGAAAATTCATAACTCGGTCAATTTTTATCGGATCGGGCCCATCGTCTTACACAAGGTCACTAACTCAGAGATCTACAACTTTTCTTCTAAAGTCGATACCGGGTTCTGTTCCAATCAATACCAGTTTTTTATTGAAGAACGTGTCAGAGTTGAAACTGGAGCCCAAAATAAGTTTGTCTGAGGCGAAACTTCAAAAATTCATAACTAATTCACTGTTTATCCGATTGAGCCCATTTTTGGACAGGAGTTTTTTCTCTATGTCGACTACATTTTGTTTTCACATTTCAACTTCAAAAATTGCACTTAAGTCCCTACGATT